AGAACTATCAACCGCTTCACCAGCTACCACGCCACACTGAGGTAAGAGCATCAAGTACGCTTTATAACGTTGTATACAAGCATTTAAATAACAAATAAAAATCAAGGACCGCTTATTAATTATTAATATTACGAAACCTTGTCTTTTTCTTTACATAATAATTTACGGCGAGCACTCCATTCCATGTGACGTGTCTCCGTAGTAAACAGGATGGGTTGGTTAATCAGGTCATTAAAGCCATGAATAGTTCTTTTTCAGCCGGATGTCCGGTTGTTTGATACAGGGAAAAAACCAAACCACCTTGGTGGTCAAAACAATTGTCCTCGTTACGTGAATCCAATAGGACAATGTTCAATAAGGCCAAAGCCACGAGAAGCCACTGGGAAGCCTGTAAGGCAGATCTTAAAATTTAGAAAAAAGCCGTTAGAACTGCGAAACGCCAATCCTGGAAGAGTTACTGCAAGGGAATCGAGGAAACCACGGAAGCGGCCAGATTAAGAAGAATCCTTGCAAAGTCGCCATGCAACCTTGGCTATCTCAAGGGTAAAGGGAACTCATGTACTACGACGAGCGAGGAATATTTAGACCTCCTCCTGGACACACACTTCCCTGGAAACAAGCCGGTGGAAATCGACTGATTACTAACGCGCAAATCGAATGGTCTATTAAGACTTTTGGTCCGTACAAGTCAGCGAGATTTGATGGGATACATGCGGTAGAGCTGCAGCAATCACGGGGCATTATCTCTCCGTTCATTGCGGTTATTATAAGAAGCTGTCTTAACATGGGCTATATTCCGCTAGGCTGGAGCGAGACAAAAGTCTCCTTCATACCCAAGGCAGGCCAGGTCCTCCCACAGCAACCCCAAGAACTTCAGACCCATCAGTCTTACGTCTTTCCTTCTCAAAATTTTAGAGGGGAGCGGATGATTATGAACGGGGCGTGATACCAACTAGTAGGCTCTCCCCAGCGCTGCATGCCTATACGAAAGGCAAATCTATGGAAACCCCCTTGCACTCGCTCGTCGGGTTGGTGAAAAAAGTGTATCAGATAAAGAGTATGCTCTGGTTGCCTTTGTAGATATATAAGGCGCATTCAATACGGGTGCCTTAGAAGAGCTTGGAGTTGACCAGAACGTAGCGGCGCTGATTGAGTCTATACTTGTCAGCAGGACGATAACCGCTAAGCTTGGTAACACCACAATAAGAAGAGAGGTCTGTAGAGGCACTCCTCAGGGAGGGGTTCTCTACCCGCTTCTCTGGAACTTGGGAGTGAACTCTCTGCTGGTGGCACTGTAGAGGGGGGGTTGCCACGTCACAGCATATGCTGACGACCTGTCAATTGCAACGCTTAGAAACTGGACAGAGAGTAGGGGACTCGGAATAAATCCCGATAAAACTGAAGCAATTCTCTTTACAAGGAAAAACAGGCTGCCCATAGTCTTCCCGCTAATCTTTATGGTTGTGGAGATATCTTTGAAGGAGAATGTTAAGTATCTAGGACTCATATTAGACAGCAAACTTACGTGGAAGCCTAAAATAGAGCAAAGAGTAAGGAAGGCGAACGTTGCATTATGCACTTGCAAATAGGGATGTGGAAATAACCTTTAGTATCGATACTTATACTTGGAAGTATTTTTCTGAAAAGGCATCGATACCAAGCCGATACCAACCAAAAAGTATCGAGTATGTACTTTTATTTACTCATTTTCCGCCAGCTAGCTTGCTACTTTTACTCAAAAATTTTAGGTTGACCGTGAAGATCCAATTAAAACATGTCCAAAATGATGTCTCTCTATCCAAAAAATTTAACAATCGTCAAGCAAACAAATAATAAAAAGACAAATACATTTGTATTAAAGATTTGTTTACGAACTGTTTCTTCAAGCTTAACTTTCAGTTGAAGCAACACCACCAAGAAAATGAAATTCATATGAAATGAGGTATGGCAAACCACAATAGTAACGGTAAATTTTGTTTGCTCTGTCCCCTTTCAGACACGTTAAGTCTTGAAAGCAATTTTTTTCGCATTCTCTTTTGTGTTTTCTATTTGCTTCCACACGCGTCAACTTTAATTGAATTCAAGTCCTTGGTTCTTTAAATGGGAAGCAACAAAAAGATCAAAAGAGACAAGAAAACTTGCAACGAATTGACGGTACGGAGGTATCTGTACTCTTCCCCTCTCTTCTCACCTCCTTCGCCAACGAACGAGCAGACTTGAAAGCAAGACTTGACGTGTCTGAAAGGGGACTCTGTTACTCAAATGGCTTTGAGTTGATTTAATATTGTGCTCTTACTTATTGCTCTACCTTATATTTTGGCATTCGTACATTTGCTTTACAAGCGATGGGAGTTTAAGTATGAGTACTTTTTGCCGATACCAAGTACTTACATCCGATACCTACTTATTGTATTCGGTGAAAGCCCAAAGTACTTGGTTTCAAGATGAAAGTATCGAGTACCTACTTGTATTTACTTGTATCGCAACATCCCTACTTGCAAACAAGCGGTCGGAATCAAGTGTGGGTAAACACCTCGTATTACACATTGGCTTTAAACCTCGGTGGTCAGGCCAATACTATTATATGGAATACTTGTATGGTGGCCAGCAACTCAAAAGGCAAGTTACCTAAAACTATTGAGTAAGGTCCAAAGGACAGCGTTTCTATGCTTTTCAGGTGCCTTAAGGACCACCACAAACAAAGCGCAAGAGGTAGTAACCAATTTGCCCGCAATAAACCTGGCGGGAAAATACGCGGCCGCCGATTCAGCGCTCAGACTAAAAAGTATGGTGCTATGGAAGGATCGGCGGTTCGGTCACGCCTCCATACTTCACAATCTGGGTAGTTCACCAAGAAGTTCACTACTCCGCTCCTAAACCAACCTTCGATAGGCTCTTTAAGACGAGTATCCCGCCAAGAAGAGAGCGGCAAACACGAAGACCGTGGAGAAGGGAGGAATTGAATTTTTACACAGATGGAGCCAAGCTAGACAATAGGGTTGGCTACGGAGTTTTCTCTAAGGAACTAGGACTGGAACTATCCGTCCGAATTCCGGACTATTTTAGTGTTTATCCGGCAGAAGTTTTAGCTATAAAGGAGGTGGCTGTGTACCTTAGTACGCATGCCGTAACGAAGACTACGATTCATATTTTCTCGGATAGCCAGGCGGCCACTAAATCAATGAACATGGTAATGCTGAGATCGAAGATTGCGCAGGAATGGCTCGTAGCTCTAAACGATATTAGCGCTGTGGTCAAGGTCAGCCTCATATGGGTTCCGGGATACAGAGATATTGAAGGAAACTGCAGGGCCGATGAGCTAGCCAGGAAAGGTACCAATCTCTCCATATGTGAAAACAGAGGCACCATTGAGACACCCATGGAAACCTCCAAATTAGAACTTCGAAATAGCATGATCCAAGAGGCCAATAGGGAATGGCTAGAGGAGGGCACGTGTAGAACAACCAGGCTCCTTCGGCCACAAATATATTAGAAAAAGACGAAAGTTTCTCAGCCACTCAAGAGAGATTGCGATGGTCACGGCTTGTGTAACCGGTCATTGGCTATTTGGCAGGCACTCCCCAAGACTAGGAATATTCTCCCACGAATATTGTAGAAGTTGCAGAGATGAGGAAGAAACCGTAGATCACTTATTTGCCCAGCTTTGGCCAAGAGGAGGCTTTTTAGGTAGGCCCTTCTTAAGCTCTCTTACGGAATTATCATGCGTAGGAATAAAACCAATTCTACGCTTTATAAGAGCCTCACATTGACCTTTAAAAGTTCTAAGTGAGTTGGTCACATGAACCGACTGCCACATAAACCTAACCTAACCTAACCAAAGTCCGATATTATTATTATTATTAGCATTATTATTATTAGTATTATTATTATTATTATTCCCCCCTATTACGGTTGGCGTTGTCGTCACTAAACGACGACGACTTGTTAAAATCGGTATTGGCGTGGTTGATATCGATAACTCTTGACAACTATTGTCACATCTTTGGTATTGGCTAAGCAAAGTTGCTGTCGACGTTGAACTCACACGACGCCATTTCTGTCGACACCGTGTTTACTGACGACTGGAAGAAAATTTGTAAGTATAAGTGTTTTTTTTTTTAAGAAAAAAGGCCGTTAGTACCAGGTACTTATAAAATATGATGTGTAGACATATGTACATATATATGTACTATGTGAACGACTCGTTAAGCATCAGTGGAATTCATTTGTTAAATATTTCATTTAACTCCTGTCTTCTCTTTTTATTTTTCGTGTTTTTAATTAAATTAAATTAATAAATGTCTATGTGTCTGCATTTATTTAGATTTTAGACATGAAAATTACAAGCGCAGAACAATTTGAAACTCTTATAGCTGAGTTAGAAAAAAGCCCTTGCCTAGCAAAGGGTTTGCAAAAGGGAACAGCTCCAGCTAATTTTAAACAGCAATGGGAGGCAATCAGCAGTAAATTGAATGCCCTTGGTCCCCCTTTAAGAGACAGCGATGGTTGGCAGAAGGTAATTATAATAACACCATTAAAGCATATATTTTGTAATATATGTACATTTCAACTGCCGGTGTGGCGAGATTACAAATTTAAAGTTAAGAAGAAACTTATAAAAAACAAGGCTGAGTGTAATGCAACAGATGGTGGAATGTATAAACAATTAACCCTCTGCCCATTGGAAGAGGCTGTGGCCAACTTGCTGCAGTTTAACAAGCAGCTAAGTCCAGAAGGTGCTTTGCAAGGTGTTCAGTTACCACCAGCGGAAACACAACACCAAACATCAAGTGCGGTTGAATTTGCTCCACTGGATGGCGCTCAAATTATTGAATGCATTCTGTTGTGCCCACCAGATTTGCCATGCGAAGAGGAAGAACCCACAACTTCAGCGAGCGCCAGGAGCAGAAATCAACCATCCACTCCAGTCAGAACACGAAAACCAAAAACGAGCGAGAGGAACGACCTTTTGGAAAGGCACAATAGTATGCAGGAAAGAATTTTAACTGACGCTACAAATAAAATGGGATCAATGAAGCATTCCTTACGCGATACGGCCGGTTATCAGAAGAAACTTCTCGCAATAGAAGAAAAGAAGCTAAAGCTTTTGGAAAAAAGGGATCGCAGAGAGGTAGAATTGCACAAAGCTGCAATGCAATTAAAAGAAATAAAATTAGAAATTGCCAAAGAAAAGCTTAGGAATTTAAAAAAAAGTTGACTGATTTTCATGTAGATATGTACCTATTTATTTTTTATTTTTAAGTACCTGTGAATTGTTTTTGTTTAGTACGTTAGATATTAGAATTACTATTTATTTGATATTAAAAGACTGAATTCCATTTATTTTATTAAAAAATAATGAACTGTGAATTGTTTTTGTTTAATACGTTAGATATTAGAATTACTATTTATTTGATATTAAAAGACTGAATTCCATTTATTTTATAAAAAAAGAATGAACTGAAATTACACAAAACTGTTTTTTATTTGTTCTCTAATTTGCGAAGCTTCAATATTTATGCTATTTTCCACATCATCAGTATTGTCAACATTGTCTTCGTTTAGTTCTGCAATGTCTGCATCCTCGTTTGTGATGTGTGAACCAAACTCGATGCAAATGTTGTTGAGTGCTGCACATACATTAGCGATTTGCGTGGCTTTAGATGGCGTATAGTGAAGTTGACGTGCACCGAGCAAACAGCGAAATCGGTTTTTTAACACTCCAATAGTGCGTTCAACTATGTTTCTAGCTTTGGCATGTTTGTTGTTGTAAATAGCTTCTGGACTTCCTTCTGCTGCGGATCGATATGGCGTCATAATGTATGGTTCAAGAGGATAACCCGCATCACCTACATAAACATTTTATATATTTTATAGGGTTTAAATTTGCGGGGTTAATTCTTACCTAAGAGCCAGCATCTACGCTCCCCAGCATCGTATCGCTCCTTCAGAATTGTTCTCGCTTGGCTAATATTCCAAATTAGAGTTATGCCCAGAACCCGCATAACGAGCATCAAAATACCGTATTCGCATTTTATGATCGCAAATCTGTGGAAGAATTTTTTATGTTTTAAAATGCAAAGCAAACGTTGGCCTGTTCTTACAATCATAACATTCAAACTAAAAAATCCTTTTCGATTGTAGTATAGATGCTGGTCTTGTTTGTTGGGAGCCAAAATTTTAATGTGGCTTCCATCGACACATCCAATAACACCAGGAAAACCAGTTTTTTGGAAAAAATACTCCTTGGCTTCTTTTTTTTCAGCGTCTGTCATATGAAATTTGATCCATAGAGGACATATGACTGCTTCTAAAATGTCGAGTGTTTCAGACAGGACTGAACTAACTGTTGGCTGGGAAAGCCCAAGGTGGAAGTCGTTTCCAACACTTGTTTGATATGAGCCCTGACCCAAAAACCGCAAAGTCGCTGCCAATTTTATAGTTTTTGATACGGCTGTTGTCCGGATTCCATTTTTTATTTGCGGCTTAATTTTTTGTAGTACATAGTTAAATGCAGTTTTGTTTAGTCGAAAATAGTCCTGAAATCTGAAATAAAATAAAATTTTTAGCAACATTGATATGTATGAAAAAATCCAAAACGCTCAAACACTTTTCCACGAGTATAAATTGTAACACTTACCTGTTATCTGGCAAACTAAATATATCAGAGTTCTGCCTAATAATTTTCCTTTTTAGTATAAGATCTTTTTTGCATTCTTCATCGCTTGAGCTTGAATCGGAAACAAAGAACATTTTTGCGCAAAAATATTCAATATAATAATAATCACACAGATCTAAAGAACGTAACCTTTTAAATAAAAATTGTAAACAACATGAAACAGCTGATGCAAAAATGACAAAGATGGTATTTCCTACATTAATTTATCGATAAATTGTCGACGTCGTCTCAACACGTTTAGCCAGTACCGATTCTGCGTCGATGTGATGTCGACGTCGACACGAAGTGATGTCGACTGAAAAACGACGACGATGTCGACGACGCCAAACGTAATAGGGGGGATTATTATTATTATCAGGGAACGGACTTTATGGAAATTGCCTTTTTTTCTGCTAAAGAGGTAGAGTATATTCGATTAAGAATGCCCCCGATTTAGTTTTCCCTGAGTCCGCTTAAACACCTTCGATGTTGCCTTTTTTAAGATATTTGCCTCTTTTTGCCTTTTCTACCTTTAATTGTAAAATTCAAGGAAATAGCCCTTAATCCTGGTAATATAAAAGTTTTAAACGTTCCATATTTAAATTGGGCGCCACTTGTATCAACTCACGTCGAGCGCACGTTTAGTAAATTCAAGGCTTTTCTCCGCGAAAATATAATGAAAATCCTGAAAATGCATCACTAGTTCACAATTTTTCACTTTTTAAATTTTACATTTCTAAAATAAACATATTTTTTGATTATTTTCCGGCTTTTGTCTTTTTTAGTGCCTTCTTTTGCTTGTTTTGCGATTTCTAGAGTCTTTTCTTACTATTTCGCTATTTTATTTTGCCTTTTCTAGCCTATTTTGTTATTTTATTTTGTCTTTTTTATAGCTTTTAAGGTCATTAAAATCCATTCCCTGATTATCATTATTATTTAGTACACTTTAGTGCATTAAGTTGAGATCTTTTTTTGCACAATAATACAAACAGTAAACTTACGTGGAATATAATGAATATAATTGCATATTAAAATACATACATACATAAACGAAAAGTTAACAAAAGCAGACATTTAATCTTACTTTAGATAAACACGAGTGGATAAAAATTAAAACAGAAGTAATAATAAAAATAAAGTTACATATTTATTATCAAAAAACTTAAACATCAGGTTTTTGAAATTACCCTTATTTAACGGGTTCTTCAAAGCCAATGGGAGGGAGTTCCATAGTCTTACCGCGTTTACAAAAAACAGTCTTGAAGTGCATTGAATTTTGGAAAAATAAGGTTAAAGCAACGTGTACTTTTCGAAAGTGAAGTTTATTATAAAGGTATTCCGGTTTCTCAGTAATAATAAGTTTAAACATAAAAATACAATTACGTGCTTTTAAAAATTTTTGTAAATCACAGCCAAGTAAAGAAATATCTAGATGAAAGGTGATCAAACTTCTTTAAACCATATACATATCTTGGGGCAGTTGAAGGCAATGTTCAATTTATTAAGGGAGTGTGAATCTAACTTTCTATAAACAATTTCGAAGTACGTAATATAATGAACAATTAAGTTTGTGACCAACTTCCTTTTCGTATCTAACGGTACATAAGAAATGTTACTTTTAGACAACGTAGTGTACAAAAGATTTTGCTTCATTATCGTGATCATCACAACCGAATTTTGAGTTAATAATGAAGCCTAGGTTTTTTTTACTTTTTCGACAACTTTAAGCTGATCTGTACCAATAAGTAAGTTGGGAATCTGAGATACCGAAATCTTACCCTTATAGATTGAGATAACGCAGGGCTTCTGGGCATTAAGAGAAATAAGATTGCTCGTTGACCATGCAAGAATAGAGTTTAGATCGTCATTAAGTTTATTACAGACGTCCTGAATTAATTCAAACTTATTAGAGAGATACAGTTGTACGTCATCGGCATAAGCATGCAAGCGAGCATGGGAGCAGGTGGTGAAAATGTCATTTATAAAAATACTAAACAACAGAGGACCCAAGATGGATCCCTGTGGTACACCTGAATACATCTGCACAGGTGTAGAAAGGTTGTTTCCAATTTTTACTTTCTGAAACCTTTCACTTGGCTCTTTATAAGTTCAACTGCGATTTTACTAAAGCTAAAATATTTAACTAGTAGTTTCTTTCATCAACTTTTCTGGATAAAACTGTAAAACTGTCAAAAAGCCAAATTGCTCTCAGAGAAAGAGAGAAAAGCCAAAAAGTACGGGAATGCTTTTCGGGTAAAAACTGGTAAAACTGTCAGATACACCGTGGGCCGCCATTTTTGGTTTACATAGCAGTTTTTTTATCATTTGCCGATCTGATAAATTATATGCAAATACGCAAGAAAATTAACAAAAATTCTTACAAAACTTGATATTTCTTCGCTGCGATATATTTAAGAAGGTGAAAATGCAGATGTACTTTATTTTTGCTTATTGAACTTTCAAATCATTTGAACAGCTGATGGTTTGCACTTTACCATTTTTCCCTTACTTTACCTACCGAGTACGGGAACGCTTTCTGGTAAATTCCTGTAAATTCTTGCAACCTATTGCGAGTTAGGGAACGCAACTAGTTTTTCGCATAACAAGTTGTGAGTAACGGATTCAAAAGCCTTGGAAAAATCTAGTACGCAAAGTTATGTTAGATGACCTTGATCAAATGGATCGCGTATATCGTCTAAAACCTTCGTAGCCGCCGTAGAGTACGAGTAGCCAGCCAGCTCTGAAACCAGACTGCAGCGGACTCAGTAGCTTGTTTGAGTAGATAAATTTGGATATTTGATGTGCTGTTAGCATTTCAAACACCTTAGAAAGCCCTGTTAGTATGGTAATGGGCCTAAAGTCAGAAATCAAAGAAGCGCCTGATTTCTTGAGTTTGACAAACTTTGAAAATGGAAAGTAAAAAGAAAGAAAGACGGGAAATCAGATTTTCTATTTATTTATAATTTATTGTGATTTCATAACAAATACTTTATTAAAGGGATTTGCATTAGAATAAAATGTATCTACAAATAACTTGCAGGCAGGAGTATTACAGCAGACAATTCGGGTATTCAACAAATTGAGCAAGTGACCTGGCAAGCTTTGACAACTGTCGTTGCTTTGAGCTAATCAGCTCTTTTGCCCAGTGTCAGATCACTTGCTCAATTTAGTGAACAGCCCTAATATGTTTTGGTATTATTTTTTGTCAGCTGCCTTCAGAATATAAATGAATTTTTAATTTACGGTTATAAATTTAGGCTATGTGCGAGTTCATCAAAAGTTTTGTACCCAAAGTGGTATATTCTGAAATTTTTTAGCTGAATTTAATTAATTTTTTTTTTTTAGATTCAAATTTAATTTGTTGTTTGTTAGCAAACTGTGTGAACCCATTCATTTCATTACCGACACTTTCCAGTGATTTAGGATATTGCGGATTTATATAGCAATCAAACCATACTCACACACAGCCTTATTAAGAATGTATATTTATCTTTCACATTTAGCTTTGATCCATTGATGTAATTTCAGGACTGATTGGGCTCGAGTCTTTTTGTATGGAATCAAATATTTTACACAGTTCTGGCGAGTCCTTGATTGTTTTTAAAAATTCCGTTAAATGCTGATT